AGTAGTAGTAGTAGTAGTGTAGTATACTATGATGATAAATGCTGTATATTAGACCATTGCATGTTATAGTGCATTGTTGGAGACTGCTATGATATGTTTTAGTGTATGTTATGGCCAGACATTCCCACCGGAAAGTAGTCAGGCACCCGGTCTGATCAGCACGCGCCCCGTTGGGCTGTTCTCCACCACATAGGGCATGGGGCTAAGGCTTTAGGGTGTCGCACCTCGAGCTCCATTGTTATATGAAGTTTGGCTGCAGACCAGAGATCGTCACAGCAACGCCTGCCTGTAGAAAGCCATGTGCAAGTGGTACTGTACCAGCTCCGGTCCTTCGACGAACCTTTGCTGCCTGCACTGTGGCGCGCACTACTGCGGCGCATGCCTCCGGGGTGATGCCGGCAAGATGGAGTCCCTAATCAAGTGCGCCGGCTGTGGCAAGAAGCCTGGCGTCAAGAGCAAAGCCAGCCGCAACTCCTGGACGGCAGTGTGCAACGCTCCCTGCAATGAGCGTGGAGGTCCTCGTTACGATGAAGATGACGGTAAGGCCAACAGTGCCTTCACCAGCGGTCTCCGTGAATGCGGAGCTCAGGAAACAGATGCTGCAGCACAGCGCCGAACGGCCAGGGGCGCTTCTGTGGGCTCAGGGCGCCCCGGGCGCGTCGCCGCAGGACCAGAGCGCTTCTTCTATGACAAGAGCACCTACACAGGAACGCACAGCAATGGAGGCCCCGAGCACGTGGCTAAAGGCATGGGTTCTCACGCCGACCGCTCATGGAAGAGGCCTTCCCTGGACTCTGCCGAGGACATGGATCACCTCGCCCGTGTCACTTTGCTCTCTCAGCAGGGAGCTAGGCCTCCCAGCCCCTTGCAGGTGAATGTAGAGCCGAGCATCGTAGCTGAATGACTACACTTTATACCTTTTTTTTGTATAACATGACCCTCTATAGAACCGAGATTTGAAAACTGTTTTGGGCTTGTGAACTCTGCAACTAAGGCATGAAGGTTGCGACCCCAAGGTCAAGCTCCGGCGCTCCTCGACCGAGCTCACGAGGACGACGCAGAACAGTAAGCCAGAAACCTTACGCTGGGTTGGGAGAGCCATGCGTTAATACTTTGTGTTGGACCTGTTCCTTAAAGGAACCATTATGAAACCGAGATTTGTTGAATTTCTCCCTGCTTACTTCAAAGTCTGGAATTAGACTTATAGACCCCACCAGCAGTCAGCAAGAACCGTCAGCCCTATCATAACACGTTTTTGAACCTTTAGCCAGTATCCCTTGAACCCTATACCCTCAACCCTAAACCGCGTGTGTGGGTGCGTGTCTGTATTAGTATATGTATATATGTTACACATATATATATATATATATGTGATCTCTCTGTCTCTTTCTCTCTCTCTCTCTCTCTCTATATATATATATATATGTGTACATCTTTACATGCATGCATACATCGATACATGTTCACACTTTACATGTACGTATACCTGTGCAAATATATATATATATATATATGCATAAAGTAAAACCCTGTAAACCTGAGAAGTTCCCGAGGACGACCCGGATCTCGCGGACCCGGCGCCGGCCGTCTCGTCGGGCCAGAGCGGTTCTTCTATGACCGGAGCACCTACACGGGAACCCACACCCGAGGCTCCTAGGATCGGTTGAGGGCTTTCGAGTTGATATGAGGGTTTCGGGGTTTAGGCCTTCTAGTGCATTGCAGTCCCTGCTCAAAAAGGGCCTTCTAGAGCAGAGGCTCTTGCAGGCTGGATGCAAAAAAAGGCCTTCTAGAGTTAGTGCATTGCAGTCCCTGCTCAGAGGCCTTGTAGAGTGTACTATCGAGTTGATATCAGAGTTTAGGCATTTGGGGATTTTGGATCTTGGAGGATTGGAGCTTCAGAGACTAATTCCGAAAAAGCACCAGAATTGCTAGGATCGTTTTTTCAGGCGCCATTCGGGAAGGTGCCCAGACTGGCTTAAGAAACCCCACTTCATGTAGGGGCCTAGATTTCCAATATTATTTTGGGGGGTTCCTTATGATAACTATAGTATAATGGGCCCCAAAACCCTATTCTAATTATCAAGGCCGCTACATTAACCGAGGTGGACCCAGCTCGGTGTCCAAGGGTGGCGGCACCTCCTTCGACCAATCCTGGAAGCGTCCAGTCTGAGACTGCCGACGGTCTACAGGGCTGCAGCACTGTGGGGCCTTAGCTTCAGGACTTTCGGGCTTTGGTGATTTAGGGTTTTAGAGTTTTAGGGTCTTGCAAGTGACGTATATACACATTTTCAATCCCCCCTCATGATCTGCGCAAGCGCAGAACTCCGACTTTGTACTGTGCACTTCTCGTGCACGAGATGTTTGGACCTTCCCAGAGGAAGCAGGCTCTGGATTACTGACTAGGGCTGCAGGTTGTGCTGGAGATCCTACTCTACCAACAGAGCCGATGATGGGAGGGTGCCGGATATCTCATGCACTCGGAAGTTTTTCCAAGCCTGGGGACACCTGGTTGCTGTGCAAATGGGCAGTGATACAGCCGATCTCGCTGCCCGATCGCACGTTTGCCGAGTAGAGGACCAAAGCCACCTTCAACCATGCATTCCTAATTTTCAGAGCCTTACGCCTAAACTTGCCTAAACTTGACAACCTCAGGCACTCAACGCTTAGATGGCTTAGCGTGTTGACGCAAGTACTGGTTCTCGAAGCAAGCAACCGGCCCCGGCCACCACAAGGCGTGGCTGGGTACGATGAAGATCATCTGAAACCGTTGAATCATCAACCTTACCTATGCTCTCAAGTAGTTGGGTTTTGCGTAGTTAGGACTCCGCAGTATATGGAACCAGGCCGCCATAATCTACACTGGAGAGTATAGGCAACCTTCCATGTGGACACGTCTCTTGAGTGCATCATGCACTTGTTTTCAGAGCTGGCTTCATTGTCTCACAAGAACAATGAAGTCATGAGACATACTCAAATGTGCGACCCTTCAGGGGGGCGACCAGTGTTAGGGGCAGACCTTTCAGTGCCCGTGCTATTGAGCTGACCACCCAGGCCAGCTGACACGAAAGTTTTACTAGAATCAGACAAAGAGCGCAGAGCATCGTGTGAAGAAGCCTGTGATCCTTGTGATGAACCTTGTCAAAAGCATATATTCCTTCGTATACCTCTTCTCATCACAAAGGCACGTTTGCTCAGATATCAGGATCGCCTCCTCGAGTAGAATGACCTAGCTCACATACCTGAAATCGCCGACCCCCCCCACCTCCAAAAATGCTAAACCTTGGCTTCCTGCCTCCCTGAGGCCCAAGACCCTGGGATGACAAAGACGAGGCGACCGAGAGCAAAGAGCGCGCGCGAGCAAAGAGAGCTAGTTTTTTTTTGGGCGGGTAAGGATGCCTATGATACTGATGCCAACCATTGATACTCAGAACTAGTTAGAGTAAAGATACTCACGATACTTATGTCAACCATTGTCAAATAGGACAAGTCTGAAGATCCTGGCAGCTCACAGTACTCCTGACGCTGATGCTAGCCACTGATACTACCAATGGCAACCATCAATCACCTGCATAGCAAGGACAGAAGATCAGAAAGTATCTAATGCTCCAAAAAGGGATTTGGGACACTTAGATGTTCTTGCGGTGCTTGTTTTTGGGCTCGCGAGGCGGGGCAGGGCCATTAAGTGTTCTGGGCGTGAGGGTCTATAAAGCTGTTAGGGATTTGGTCATCAGGGTTTGGGGCTTTAGGGTTTAGGGTGTATAGGGTTTAGGATTTGGGGCCTTAAGGCTGTGGTATGACACTCAGAGCCCAGCTGCAAAAGGGGCTTCGGTACACCGAAAGAAGCCCTCCCGATAGGACAGGTTCGACCTTGGGAAAGAAGTGTAATCGCAGGCTATGACACTACTACAGTCTTAGGGTTTAGGGTTCAGGGTGTCCCTTCATGTACTGATTAACTTGACAAAGTGGATCAAAGCGCTTCTTGCGGCTCCCCTGATTACAAGATTTGCGTTTTTGCGGTTCACTCCTCTTGCGATCCGTTTTCAGCGAGAAGAAAAGGGTGGCATAAGGGGTGAACCTTCATAATTACCAATATTACTGTTAGGGTTCCTTATTATACTTATACTATGAAAGAGCCCAAAACCCTATTCTAATTATTACGGCCCCTGCATTCAAGAAGCGAGCTATGGCACTGGCCTAAAGTTTCGAGTTGCACGGCCTTTTCCTGCTTGCCACTTCCCAAGGCCTCTAAGCCCAAAACCCTTTTGCCCGAGTGGGAGCGCCGAAACCCTAAACCTTGAGGTTTAGGGTTTAGGGGTTTAGGGGTTTAGGCTTTAGGGTTTAGGGTTTAGGGTTTAGGGGTTCAGGGTTTAGGGTTTAGGGTTTAGGGCTGGTTCTTTTGGGGTAGGGGCAGGGGCCAATAGCTGCGAAACCTTGTCGACTCGAAGTGAGCCCCAACTTCGAACAGTTTCCTTCAGAACATCTTTATAGTTTTGGCTATACCATGCTATACCTTGGAGGAGGATTTCGGCACCGAAGTGAGAACATAAACGATGAGTTTTGGACGCTTGAAGCCTCAAAGCCTCGTGGGTTTAGTGCGTATAGGGTTTAGGGTTACCCTAAACCCAATAAATCCTAAACTTTAGGATTAGGTGTCCTTCGCAGTCACACCGAAGGACAGCAACCTCGCAAGCCCCCGAGCACTTGTTTTCGCAATCCTCGGCCACAGGAAGAAGTGGGTAGTTATCTGAATTAGTGTCCCTTTTAGGGTCCATTTCATAAGAGTGCCTATTATTTTCGAGACCTGAAACGGGACCCTACTTTAGGGAACTACCCAAGAATTGCCTCCGCTGCCTTCTCCTGCTGCGACAAAGTTGTCGGTGAAAGCATTCATGTCATTTGAGCCACACTGGGCGTCCCCGGAGGAAACCTCTTGACATGCAATGCCTGCCTGTAAGCATTGCAAAAAGCTGTTACGTAGGCCCAAACAGCTGCACAACATGACCGTGAGCATGCACCCTTAAAGCTGCAAAACCTTTCTCCTTTTGTTGGTCGCAATGGGCCGAGGGCGACCGAGGCTAAGTGGGCGCTGGTGGCTACTTCTGACTGTGGCCCTGTTACACCGCGAGGTGGATCTGTGGAGCTTAAGCTGATAGGGCCACTGCTACTGCTACTACCCCGAAGAAGACGATGAGGATTACTGCTACTATTTCTACTTACTGCACTACTGACGTCGGCGGCCAGTACTACCGCGGCAACAGCCTCTCTCCAGTACAGATTGCTCGTGCACCTAAGGCTCCGGGCTGTACCTCATGTAAAACGACTTCCGGTCGGGTTCATCAGCCTTTTGAGTTTAGGCCTACAGTGACCTACAGCTTGAGTCGTAAAGCGCAAGCCCGTCGTGAGGCTGGAGATTGATTTAACTGTTTCGGGCCTACCCAAACCGCTGAAGCCAGAACCCCCAAAAACCTCAAGCGAGAGATCTTTGTATTACCTCCAACCGAACAAGCACCAAGAACCTCCCCTGGCTTGCCCGAGTGCGAAGCCCTTTCAATTCTTTTCTGTCTCAAACTATCTTATGGTCGATGTGGATTCCGCGTATGTCTAAGAGTGCTTAAACATGTAGGAATGTAGGGCTGAAGGATTTGGGCTTGGGATTCATGCGAACGTGGCGAAATGCTGTGTTCTGCGTCGCGGCTGACGGTTGACTGACAGTCATCCGAACTGCTAAACCTTGCTTGGGGTACTACATACTCAGAACACGTATGTACCGAAAGGCTGAGGGATGTAATGATATAGGGAGGACCCCCAAGCAAAGAAGCATTTTGTCATGCTTGGCCCTGCATGCCATGCAAGCGACTTTATTTGCATTAAGTCAGAAGCAAGTGTTGTAGCTATCGTTCCAAGCATTACCTTGCTCGAATCGGCTTTGGGGGCTTTGGAGTCAGAAGCTATGTGGGTTAAATGTGTGGGTAATCTGCAAAGCCTCAAACCCGAAACCAGAAAATGTTCGAGACCCTTAAATGTAACCCTTCCAAGAGCCTTAAAGCTATTTTCAACATCAAGCAAAACATCCTAAAACCTTGGCAGTATGGGCGCCCTTCGGTCTTCACAGCGCCAGAGTGCGTAAGGACGGTGATTGAAATGAGGTTCCTGGTGTCGGCTTTGTTAGATTGTGGGGTTGTGGACATCATAGCATGGAAGCAAGAATAGATACTAATTGTATTCCTGAGGGTTTCTCAGTTCAAACATGTCCCAAAACATCCCAAAACCCTGTTCCAATTATGGCGCCTGCAGTCGGGCCCTCTATTTGTCCTAAGATATTTTTGAAGAGTCTGATGGACCCAGCAAGCCCAGGTGCCTGAGTAGTCCGCAGATATGGTGACCCTAGCCGGAACCTTATGATAGCCCGACTTGCTGCGTCCCCCTCAACCGTTCCAAAACATCGAAGGCCGCAATTAGCACGTTCGATTGCTTCTTGCTGCTGCTACCTTCTACCTTTCTACTGCTACGACAACACCAACAACGGCGACGACGACGTCGACGACGACGACGTCGACGACGACTACTACCACTGCTGCTACTCTTACCCCTGCTCCTGCTTCTAGTACTCCCCCTCCTCTTCTTCCTCCTCCTAGTCCTCCTCCTCCTCCTCCTACTACTACTACTACTACTCCTGCTGCTACTACTACTACTATGACTACTACTACTACTACTACTACTACTACTACTACCACTACTGCTACGACTACTACTACTACTACTACTACTACTACTACTGCTACTACTACTACTACTACTACTACTGC